CGCGCGCGGCCCGGCGGTACCGGCGTGCGGAACGCGGGGGCGGCGCGGGAACGGCCCCGGCCCCGGCCCGGCCCTGCCGCCGCACGGGCCTCGCGGGCCGACAGACCCGCCACAGCGCCGACCGCCCGCTCCGACACGGACACCGGCCCCGCGCTCCCCCGACACCCCGAGGGAACGCGCCCGGCCCTGCCCCGGCTCCTCCGGCCCCGCCATGAACACCGGCCGCCGCGGAACCCCGGGCGCGGGGCAGACCTTCCCCGCCGTGCTGAGGCTCTGATGCCCGGCTCTGGCACAGGAGTGACAAGGGAAAAGCCCGGTGCCACCTGCAAATACAGCTCTGGAATGGTCACCTGCGGGTCCTGTCCCCGCCTGAGGATCTCCGAGGAGTAGCTCAGAGGACGGAGCAGAGGGGCCCTGGTGGCACGGCCCGGGACGTGCTGACGGACGACAACAACAACGGGAATTCTCTTGTCGGCGCTGCAACCCCAACAGCATCCTCCTGCCTGCCTTTGGGGGAAGGTTGTTCCCATCCCCGTCTTTCTAAAGACGCTGCTTCATCATCTTCCTGCTTCCCACCAGCCCCAGAGCAGGTCACTGCCACAGTCCCCACGAACACACCCCGGGAAGCGATGCTGTCTGCATGGATGCAAACCAACGGGAAAAAGCTACAAAGAGTCTTTTTCTAGAGACCGAGCGATCAAAACAACCACAGGGGAAGGAAAGCACACCTAACAGAGCTAATGAGATTACAACAGGCACCGTGGGTTCCTTGCCAGGACACTTGTAATCATGCCACATTTTTAATCCCTGCTAGCAAGAGACAAACAACTGTGCATAATTACTTACAAGCACAAGTTAACAACTGTCTTCATGGTAAACACAGATACTCATTTGCTTCAACTGCCCAAAACTCCCAAGTCAGGGTCATCCTGTGCCAGTAGTCACTACTCATCCGTGCTTGGGATATTGAAGACTCAGGTCTTGAAAACTTATTCCCTAACAAGTGCCCCAGGCAAACGAGTTTGGCTCTCCCATGAGTGCCACACTCCCAGCCATGACAGGTTAGCACCAAGAGATCTGAAAGCCCAGAACACGCTGCTCTGCCCAGGGCCTCGTGCCAGCGGGTCCACCAGGCCCACAGGGCACCCCAGCTGCCCCGTGCAGGACTGCCAGCACATCAGAGAGCTTTGGGGAGCCTGAACACATCCCCAGCCTCCAGTCAAGGTGCACTGCAACTCCACAGGCAAGAGTTGCATCCACATCCCACCATCGCTCCTGTGCTGCACAAAACAACTCCTGTTATTTTGTGATGAGTGTTTATTCCCTGGGAGACCCTCAGGATAGGGTGCTGCCGCAGGAAGAGCTCTACAACAAAGCTGTGCAACAGCTCTAAGCAGGGTTTTCTCCTGTTCATCACTTTGGTACCCAATCCATACCAAGCATTGATTTTTCCAAACACCAAGAAGAGTTAGAGCAGCAATTGATGTGTTTTACACGCAGAAGCCAATGCAAGTTAAAGGCCATGCTTTCCAAACAAGACATTTAATTTCACTCTCATTACACAAGTAGTCACCCCTAACGAGGAATGAAAAGAGCATAAAGGCAGCACACAAAATGAGAACAGATGAAAACTACCTTTTGTGCTCACACGTACTCACAGGAGAAATATCCCTGGTAAAACTCCCCAAACCATGTTTCAGTCCTGGGTTTGCAATAAGTTCTCTGTTAGGAGCTGGAGAACCCTTGACTCGGAGGGCAATCCTGCTCCTGCTGAGCTCAGTGACACACCTGGGACTGCACTAACCCAAGCTGAATTTTCCTCTTTCAGGCTGCCAGCCACAAGAAGACAAGTATTACTCCGAGGAGCTGTAATGCCTTGAAGGTAAATCTTCAGAATGTGAAGAAATACTAAATGTTTATTTTGTCTGCACAGTTACTTGAAGAAAAAGTGTTTTGTCAGAATTTGTTATCTACCTGAAAACAGCCAGAAATGTCAGCTTTAAAAATAGTCTTCCAGCAGAAATAAAGAAAAACTGTGGACCAGAGGTTTATCTTCAATATCTCCACTAAATAAAGGAAGATGTTAGCATGGGATTATAATTTTTTATCTCCATAAACTATTTTCCCTCACTTTGAAATTCCCTTGTGATATTCCAAGTCACTAAGGAGTCCCCAAGAAGCTTCAAATGCTACAGGATACACTGTCTGCAAAACCCAGGTGACACATGGGATGTCTCCTTTGGGCTGCCTTTAATAAGCTGAGAAGGACTGCAGCAAATCCAGAGGGAGAACCGTAGGGACAGGCAGGAAAAAGGATTGAGCTGAACTTTTTTATTTTTTATTTCATTAAAACTGATTTAGGGGCAGAGTTTCTAGACCTCACCTAGTAGGCCAGTCAGTACTAAAGGCTTTTCTTAATCCACAGGTGGGTTTTGAAGTTCAACTTCTGAAATTTGGAAGGATTCGCTACTTGTTTTGGGAATGTTGCAACGTTGGTTTGGCCAAAGCATGACCTTGACTTTGCTGATTATTGGGAATACAAGGAAAATGAAGCTAAAAATGTTGAAAGCAAATTTTAAAAGTGATTCTCAGAAAAAACAGAAGAGAGAAATGACAGCGAGAAGTCATTCCTTAAGAGGATAACAGAGATGACTCAGTTGTCTGCTGAGCTGGGTCAATGAAAATGATTAAGAAACAGCCTCACAAATCAATGGAAAGGTTATCTGGAAATGCCCAAGAAAGTAAAACTAACACAGAAGAGAGTCCTATTACTTCCCATTATTGCTATAAAGAAATGTTGTACAGCCAGGTTAATGATACATTTTTCCTCCTCCTTACAGTCTTTGACACAAAAATAAAGTGTCTCCCTGCGCTGGGAATTGTTCTTAAAGAGCCATTGTTTTCACTCTTCCTGTCACTGGGTTTGCTGGACATCACTGTTTATCTCAATTCACACAAGTCTCTCAAAAAAAGATGTATAAAGCTGGGCAGGCAAAAAGCCCAACACTGAAGGAGAAGATGGCAGGGAAGAATGCTATTTTTATGCTCAGAGAAAGTGGAAGCTGAAAACACCAGTCTCAATGACATGAGAACTGTCAGCAAGAACAGATAATTACACAACGTGAATTCATCCTCATGACAATGACTCTAATGAGTTAGGAAATGGAATAAAATCAATATTCTATTTACACTGACGGGGCAGTCCCAAAGCTTGAAATTGCCAAATGTCTGTCTTTTAAATCAAGGAACACAAAATTACTGACTGCCTTATAGTATTTTCAAAACACCTCTGCCAAACTCAAAGTTTACCAATAACATATCTCAACATAAAATTTGGAAGAGAGACAGCAATTACTCCTCGGCACAACTGAGGGATATAATTATAGTGCAGTCACAAAATTAAGCTGAAACAATGAGCTAATGAACATCTTGGCCACGTAACAGCATAGGATTGGGTAAAGAAAAATACTCTTTAGTAAATTACAGCTGAACAACCCAATTGTCTTGTGCTGTAGCTCCACGGGAGCTGCACCCACTGCTCCCACAGGACAGCACGGAAAAGCCAAACGACCCCTCTCTCAATTTGCTACTTTCACATATACCTGGAACAAATGGAGTGCAGAGGCAGAGCAGAGAGCAGCCAGCTCTGGAGCAGGACTGCCCAGGTACTGTACCCTGACAGGGATTCCTCAGAGCCTGCTAAAACTACAAGCACATGTTAGCTCTGAATTACTGAGTCCCACACTGGATTTGTAAAAAACTGCCAACACTGCTTCTGTGACCCAGATATTTTGCATGATATACATAGTTTTAGTAGTAGTAGTAGTAGTACTAGTGTTTTAAAGGTTTTTTTCTGTACTGTTTTAGCTCTGACAGACTCGCCTGGTGAAACCTCCCACTGACTTCAGTGGCTCCTCCGGCACATCCCCATCAGACGTGGTTTTATCTGAGTCTATTTCACAGTTTCTGGAACTATTTTAGCAGAACCACCTAACTGTGACATTCCATCTGAATTCAACACACCCAAGTGCACTCAGTTCATGAAAACGGGATAAATAATGAAGAAGAGGCCACGTGTTGTACACGACGTGCCCCAGTCACGTGCAGGAATCAGGTATTGCTCCAAGATTTCTGTCCCCAATCAAACCACAAACAAGTTCTCACCAGCAGTGCACTGGCACTGATACACAAATCCCCCAGCCCAATCCTCTCTTACTTTAGATTACAGTAATGCTATTTTCAAGTCAGAAAGTTATACTGCAAATTCCATAAACCCTCTTTTCTTTAAGGAGCAGACGGTTACGGATTAGCCGCTATTGCTGCAATTTTAAAAATCTTTAAAGTCAAGAAATATGCCTGTTGATCTCTCTTTTTAATGACCTGGGGCATATATCAGTCTCCTTTACAAAATGTGGGACTTGAGGGACACGCAGCATTCCCAGTCTGACAGCCTTAGCTGGACATGTATTTATGAAGGAGAGCAGGGACAGGCCAGTGCCTGTCTGGGACAAGGACATGGCACATGAGCTGTTATTCTGCTCTTGCAACTTCAAGCCAGGGACACAAAACAGGGATGGATTACTCTGCCTTTAACCCATTTTCCATCAAATTTATGTATTACAAAGCATTCACATACCCACCCCCACCACCGAACTTGCAAATACTGTTTCTGGTAATAAAAACGTATCCACACTGTAATTCCTTTATCATAACATCCACAGAATGTATTGTAGAAATGGGAAGTTCTGTATTACACTGGCATAGGGGGATTTCAACTGTTTAAGAATGAAATTTCCCAAGCAAGTCTAAAAAGAAATTGTTTATCTTTAAAAATAACAGTAATCTGGTGATGCAAGTTAAAATTCTGAGAAGTAACAAACTGAACAGAAAAAAACACGAGCTCTTTTATTAAAATCAGTCTTACATGCTTGTTCTAATTAATAGTAATTTTAAATATGTTGTTTCTATACAAAGACATTTGAGAGGCCCTAACAAAACAACTATGCGCTCTTCCAAAAACTACAAGCTATTTATTAATCAGACTCTTGCACACTTTGTTTGATTAACTGCAAATGTACACAAGCCAAGCAAGGCGGGAGAGCAGCGAGATGACCCACGGCAGCAGGGTCAGACCAGGATCAGGCTCCCCAACCCCGCCATCCCCCCGGGGCAGCACAGACCTGTAAAACCTTCCCTACCCCCTCCTGTGCAGGGGGGTGACCCTCACCCTCATTTCCTGGCCTGTTTCAGTGGGAGTGGGTGTCGGGTGTTCTCCCCAAGAACAGCCATGTGGCAAATCCGAGGGTGAGTCCCACAGGAGAGACTCAAAGCTGGGAGGTACCTATAACAGTAGCAAAGAGGATACTACACAGGGCTGGAAACACTCCCCTAGTGACAGCTGATTCCTAACTGTACATGTGTGTATGCATTTATATAAAACGTGATTATTGGCACCATCCATGATAACCTCCAACACAGAAAAAAAAAAAAATCCATGCCCATGACTCAGCAAGGGAAGCAACTGCTTCCTTCTGCCAGCAAATTCCTCGTGCCAATGAAGGGCAGGAGGAGTGACCTGGAGGAGCTCTCACTGGTGAGAGGTGCAGCAGATACACCCCTCAGCTTCCTGCAGACCCAATGCTTAAACACCTCCTGTACAGAAGGGAAAACACACTGGCACCTTATTACTGCTCAGGTTCCCGCTTTTTACAATCAGATAAATGGGGTTTCACTTCCTAATGCAGCTGCCACGTGGCCTTGGTTGCAAAAGGTGGCTTTTCCTTCCCCAGAAATGGCTGGATAGAGCAGTGGGGAAAAGAAGTGCTGAGAGACCATTGCAGTGAGCTGCTGGTGGAGCAGGGCACACACAGGGCAGCACTGACACTACCATTAATTTATTACTAGGAGCACTTGCTCCAGCCAACAAGCTCATGCACTTGGCCCCACCAACCCATCCCTGTCTGGGCCCCCTCTCCCAAATTCACTCCTGACACCAAACTCCAGATTTCAAAGTTCTTGCCCAGCAACATGACAATTGCTTTGTCAGGAGGATAATTTCGAGTCAGGAGTCTGGATGCAGCCACCACATCCCTGCACACATCCAATTACTTGGCGAGATTAAATCTGAACCTAATTACCAGGAACAGAACAGGGCATTCGTGTCACCTGCTCTGAGCTGGTGTGTCATCCCACTCCTGGTGACACAGGGAGTGACACATGGGGGCTGATGTGGAGTCCTCGGCACAATTCTGTGGGGGCACCTTCCTACTCACTGTCTGCTGCATAACAGGCACTGTCCAGCCAGGCCCAGTATTTTTTGGAGAATTACCTGGAGTGCTTCCCTTCCAGGATAAAAACTTGTACAACTTTTCAGAAAATACAACAAATCTATATAATTTCTTTACATTAGTTACGTAAGAATCTAAATCCCAGGGAGTTTTTAACTCTCTCTGCTCTGCCACCATCTGAGGTATCCAAGGTCACTGTCATGCAGTAATACAAAAGCAAAATGATTCCTCCATACACAGTAAAACTAATCCAGTTTAGGAGACTGCTTTCTTTGACTTAACAGATAACCCCACACAGACGGTGCTCAGCAGCACAGAAGCACTTATTGATGTGATTAATTCTGCATCGTGACCAATCTCACCCAAGCTAAATCAATACATGTGCCTTCAGATACCAAGGAAAAGCTCCAAATTAGTCACTGGTATTAAAGAGAAGTAATAAAAATAATAAAAACTGCGTGACTATGTTTTATTTTAGGAAAGAAGTGGAAAATGTCTTTGAGACAATTTTTAATCAGTGTTTTGCTTTAGTATATTGTTGTTTGTTCATCTTGAATCATGATATTTATATAGCTGACAATAACCACGAGAAACAACCCACTGATGGCCCCTGTTTGGAGCAGGTTTTGCTGCACAAGATCTCAGCCAGGAAAGCTGCCACGACACACAGGGGTGGGTTAGGAAGGGACTTCTGAGCTGGACTGGTCGTGTCAGAGATGGCAGTGGGGCCCTCAACACTGTGCCAGGGAATTTCTCACGTGGAAGACTCCTCTCTATCCTCTACTTGGGCTCTCCTCAGTGTGTCCCCTTTTC